ATGTCGGTGTGTGTATCTGTGTCATGCATTTAAAATCCAACACTGCATCCAAACACCACCCTGCAATCAACATGGATAAGGTGGAGACTCACTAATTTAGAGGAGAGGGCATCAAACAAACCACTGTAGTAAGGGCTAAGCAGACCGATATTGAGATGGAAAACAAGACAGATATTGCATGTGGAGAACAAGCAAACTTACTAGTATCAACTGGAGAGTGAAAAATTGGGTAAATTAGAGGAAAATTGGCCTTTTACCGCATACAATAAATGTTTATGAGGGAGATTTATCAAAGCAAGATAGGTGATATTTTTGTGCAAAGTACTAAATGATGAGGGATATTCTATTGCTTTCCAAGTAATTGGTCCTTATTTAGCAATTCGATCCATAAAGGCACTTGTTTTTGTCTTGAAAAAGCCCAACACATGTATTAAAGCGTGTATTTTTTGGTAATTCAGACATATAAATCCCTCATCTCCTGACTTACACAAGCTCTAGGTGGTCATCTGTACGTTTCCTAAATCAGGAACTCAACTGACCAAAACCATAAGTGCAACAAAGTGTGTGTTTATGAATTGTAACTTCATGCACAAGCCCGGCACATCTTAAAGATGCCCTTTGGGATTGTTTAACACCTCCATATTGTGCACAGTCTTAACAAATAAAATTTACTTCTGACAAAAGAGAGCTTGGTAAGGCTGCGCCCATGGAGCAAGGATGAGTCAAGAGATGCCCGGAAAGGAGTACTTCACTTTTAAGTGTTCTTTACATAATAATTCAAAACTAGGTATATTAAATTCAATTTTCTATTTTCTGTAATAATAAATAACAATTATTTTTTAAAATAATAATTCTAATGAGCTCATTAATTATAATAATGAGTTTTTCTTTAAATGGACTGTAGTTTAGGCCACATTTCAGTGGGCTGTTTTCAGGAAAAATTTTTAGTAATTGTAATGAGAGGATGGAGTTTGGGGTTTTAATTTTTGGAGGCTTACAATTAGGTTCAATATAAAACAAGTCTAATTTAAAACATAATAAATCTGTCTTTATTTTACATTAAATTAAATCTTGCTGCTTTTCCGTTTCTCTCTTAACCCTTCTATATTGCTTTATTTCTGTCGCCTCTGTCAGTTATTACTTTCCTGGCATTCGGTTTCAAATGAACGAATTACGATTTGTCTGAGTTTTGGACAATTGGCAATTCGTCAGAAATTTCTAATTTGAAACGCTGTATTGATGAATCACAAAACGGACCATGAACAAAACCATTTCATTGGATTCACGATTCGTGATTTGGAGTTCCGTCATCAAAAGACACTAACTAAATGTTTTTTTACTCACAGATAAGGTGAAACGTGAGCAGCAGAGGGTAAAAAAAGATATATATTTAATAATTTAATATTTTTAATAGCAATATAATATATAAATATAGATTTTTACTGCTCCTCATTTTTTTCCTCTATTAGTTATTTCTCTGATTTGATCTCCCAGATTGTGGGAAAATGTTCCTTTCAGTGTACTACAATATATTTGTATAATATTTATATTATGCAGTACTTTACATTGTTGACCAGTTTTCCCAATTTTCCCAATTCTATATACATGTATCCACAATTAGGAAAGGTTAACTAAAAGTTCAGAAACCTAAGTGGAAAGTTCTAAGACTCCTTCCCAAGGCAATAGGTCCTTGGATGTCTTTATGGGAAATGGGGGTAACCCACAAACTGTTGGGACGAGAAAACCAGAAGAAAAAAGCCCTAAAACATATACAGTAGAATAGAAACAGAAACATAGAAACATAGAATGTGACGGCAGATAAGAACCATTCGGCCCATCTAGTCTGCCCAATTTTCTAAATACTTTCATTAGTCCCTGGCCTTATCTTATAGTTAGGATAGCCTTATGCCTATCCCACGCATGCTTAAACTCCTTCACTGTGTTAACCTCTACCACTTCAGCTGGAAGGGTATTCCATGCATCCACTACTCTCTCAGTAAAGTAATACTTCCTGATATTATTTTTAAACCTTTGTCCCTCTAATTTAAGACTATGTCCTCTTGTTGTGGTAGTTTTTCTTCTTTTAAATATTTTATTTATTTATTTATAAAATATTTTACCAGGAAAGATACATTGAGATTTCTCTCGTTTTCAAGTATGTCCTGGGTACACAAATCATTGCATTGTTACATTAGGTACAACAAAATACAAAAACAATATTAATACACAATATATACAAAATTTAACATAGAACAGGCAGGAAATATATAATCAACCATGACACGTGCATTCTGTTTTGAGGTATGTAGAGAGGGATCTCTTAAAGGACTTTAGGCTTAAATGATATAGTCTCCTCCTTTACTGTGTTGATTCCCTTTATATATTTAAATGTTTCTATCATATTCCCCCTGTCTCGTCTTTCCTCCAAGCTATACATGTTAAGATCCTTTAACCTTTCCTGATAAGTTTTATCCTGCAATCCATGAACCAGTTTAGTAGCCCTTCTCTGAACCCTCTCTAAGGTATCAATATCCTTCTGAAGATACGGTCTCCAGTACTGTGTACAATACTCCAAGTGGGGTCTCACCAGTGTTCTGTACAATGGCATGAGCACTTCCCTCTCTACTGCTAATACCTCTCCCTATACAACCAAGCATTCTGCTAGCATTTCCTGCTGCTCTATTACATTGTCTGCCTACCTTTAAGTCATCAGAAATAATCACCCCTAAATCCCTATCCTCATATGTTGAGGTTAGGACTCTATCAAATATTCAGTACTCTGCCCTTGGGTTTTTACGTCCAAGATGCATTATCTTGCACTAATGCATCTTGGACGTAAAACCCTAACAATTAATTAAAACAACATGTTGTGCATTATTAGAAATGAAGGACTCATCCATAAAAAAGCAGTGAAAAAAGAAAGCGAAATAAATGGTGAAAATACCTCCATAGGCTTATTAAACCACTGGGCAGCTAATGACTATATTAAAGACAAGTCATAGTGCCAGGTATGCTGTAATAGTAAATCATGATGAAGCTGTTTCTCCACTGAAGGCATTCCCATTTTAGGTTTATTTTTTGGGGTATAGAAAAGGTTTGGTTATGTTACTTTAGTTGTCATTTTATTTTTAGTATTGGAGGGATTGTATTCCGGGGTCTGCAATACCATATAGTAACCATTTCACTACCGACCACTTTTTAATTGAAATAATATTAGTATAACATTTATTTGAAGCAAAACCTGTCTAGCTAGCATATCAACATATCACAACACAGCTATGTGTATAGACTGCTTTGCAGACAACCTTAAAATGTTTAATTATGCAAATTTCCATAATGTTTTATTTTTCACTTATTCAGTCCTCCTTCATAAAAATATTTTTGGAAATGAACAGCTGTGGACAGTGTGCTGCGACATTTAACATATAATACTTCACACAGAGTGTGAATTGTTTGTACAAAAGCAAAAATGCATGTTTTCTCACATACAGTAGATGTTACCAAAATCGGTAAATAAAAATGTTAAATTACATTGTTTACATGCAGTGCAGATTTCTAACAATGGCAACTGAATGTAAAAATAATGTGTACATTTCACCATAATGCCCACATACAATTAATATAGATAAATCATATATTTTTTATAATAAAGGTATTTAAAACTGCTTTAGCAATCTTTATCAATCTCTGGAATGCTAATGTATTGCTGACAGTGAGATGGAAGCCTCAATTCACCTCCCCCCTCCCCTTCCAACTGTATGAATAAAATGACTAATTGAAACCTCCTGTACTGTTTGAAAGCAGGGGTGAGCTCATATTTTCAGCAACTTTACCTTCATTATATCAGTAACCAGTGGCTTCTGGTAGAGAGATGTGTTCCTCTGCAGGCTTGTAATCATAACTTGAGTGAGGCTTTATGGACTAAATGTTATGCTGTAAAAGAAACATGACAATAAAAACATATATACTTGATTTTGGTATTGAAGAGATTAGAGATACCTGGTTTTATTAAATGAATCATAGTTGATGCATAGAAGTAGTATGTATATATAAAAATATTAATGTTTTATGTTAGGGCTGTGCTCTGTTTGGGAAATAGGAGAAGCGGCTTTGTGTTTAGATTTAGTAATGTTAGTAGTTTGCTAATATACTATAAGTTTTTGAGAAAGTACATGCTTGAAGTTTTCTTACTAATGACAATAACCTATGTTTTTGACTGTATTATATACATTTTAAATCCTCATCTTCTACATATTCTAAAAAGACAATTGAAGAGTGTACCATGTATATATACCTTGAAAGATTTTGATAAATATTTCAAACTATTCTAATAAAACTGGTCTTTCATTTTGACAGACCAGTTGTTTTTTTAAATATATCTGTTTAGTTTTGTATTGTAATTAAAGGGACACTCTGGATTCCTAAAGAGCTTTAACTTGCTGAAGTGATTTTTTTCATTTTACAAAAAGTGCAGATTTCAATAGAATTTAGCGTTTTCATAAATTAACTTTGTTACCCCCGGCTTTCAATCAGACAATGGGTCCTATTACTCCCTGGTTTGGTGATTGGGTGCAGCTAAACTCAAGAGGCATCAATTGCCCAGAGCACCTGCCTTGAAGAGACTTCACATTGAGCTGCATTGGGAAGTCTGTGATTGGACAGCCACAGAAAGTCTGGGTGGGGCTCGAAGGGGAGGGCTTGCAAAGGTTATAGACAAGAAAGTGAAGCTCTTTGCCTCCCTCTTCTATCCAATACTCCCCAAGGAGGAGCCTTGGGGACCTGATGTGCATGCATGGCAAGCAGTGCGCACACACATTCCATTTCCCCACTGAATCATTGCTTTCTTATGGTGGATTCACGTGGCGTCTTTTACAAAAGAAAGTCACTAGAAGTGGGTTAAAAGTAAAGGACCACTGCACCCAGACCACTACATTGATAGAGGAAGAAAAAATATATGTCCAGACACACCTGAGTTTTCGTCTAAAAGGCAGCCTTTTATTAGGAACAAAAAAGTGGAGACAATGTTTCGGCTCCTCTCTGAGCCTTTGTTAAGTCTGAGAGGAGCCGATACATTGTCTTCACTTTTTTGTTCCTAATAAAAGACTGCCTTTTAGACGAAATCTCAGGTGTGCCTGGATATTTATCTATTCTTCCATTTGCTGTCTCCAGGGATTGGCCCTCCCTTTCTGGAGCACCCTACAGGACGTATCCCCCTGTTTTAGTGTGTGCACTGTAGTCTGGTTTTCTTGTAAACAACTTTAAGACAAAAGGGAGACTTCTAATGCACTTCGGTTTGCTACTTATTAATTGCAGGGTTATTTTATATAAGTGCTGATTTCAAGAGAGACAAGCTCGCTAATAAGCCAGCTTTTGTCAAGCGGAAGTCTCACTTGTTTTCAACTATAGTTCAAAGCAGGAGTCAGTGCTTCTCAAAGAGAAGCATTAGTTTAAATGTTTCGTTATGATAATCATTGTTGGTGTGTCCAAATGCATCTTACATAGTTACATAGCTGAAAAGAGACTTGCGTCCATCGAGTTCAGCCTTCCTCACATATATTTTTGCTGTTAATCCAAAAGAAGGCAAAAAACCTAGTCTGTAGTGCTTCCAATTTTACAACAAACTAGGAAAAAAATTATTTCTTGACCCTAAAATAGCAGTCAGATGTCTCCTTGGATCAAGCATCTATTACCCCACTAATTAAAAATGATATCCCTGTATGTTATGTTTTTGCAAGTATTTATCCAATTGCAGTTTAACCCCTTAAGGACACATGACATGTGTGACATGTCATGATTCCATTTTATTCCAGAAGTTTAGTCCTTAAGGGGTTAAACATCTGTATAGACTCTGACAAAACCTCCTCTTCAGGCAGGGAATTCCATATCCTTATTGCTCTTACTGTAAAAAAACAACAACTTTTCTTTGCCTTAGATGAAATCTCCTTTCTTCCAGCCTAAATGTGTGTCCTATGTTTTGCCCTGTTTTTGAATAGATTTACAGATAAAGGTTTGTACTGGCCCCGAATATATTTGTATAATGTTATCATATCCCCTCTCAGGTGCCGTTTTTCCAAGCTAAACAGATTTAAATTTTTTAACCTTTCTTCGTAACTAAAATGCTCCATTCCTTTTATCAATTTTGTAGCTCGTGTCTGCGCTTTTTCTAGTGCCATGATATCTTTCTTTAGAACAGGTGCCCAAAATTGCACAGCATATTCAAGGTGTGGTCTTACCAGCGATTTATAAAGAGGCAAAATTGTATTTTCATCCCGAGAATTTATGCCCCTATTTATACATGACAAAACCTTTCTGGCCTTAGCAACTGCAGATTGACATTGCATATTGCTGCCTAATTTGTTGTCTATAACAATTCCCAAATCCTTCTCGTGTGTGGTTATCCCTAGTTCACTACCATTTAGGGTGTAAATTGCTTGTGCATTCTTAACCCTGAAGTGCATAACTTTGCATTTCTCTACGTTAAATTTCATCTGCCATTTTAGTGCTCAGTCCCCCAATCTATCCAACTCCCTCTGCAGAAAAGCAATATCCTGCTCACATTTTATTACTTTACAAAGTTTTGTGTCATCTGCCAACACTGATACATGGCTTTCAATGCCTATTTCAAGATCATTTATAAATATGTTAAATAGAAGTGGTCCCAAAACAGAACCCTGAGGGAAACGACTTACCACTTTTGTCCAGCCTGAAAATTTACCATTAATGACAATTTGTTGTACTCTATCCTTAAGCCAATGTTCTACCCAAGAACAAGAATATTCATCTAGACCAATTTATTTTAGTTTGAAGACGAACTTATTGTGAGGAACCGTATCAAATGCCTTGGCAAAATCCAAGTAGATCACATCCACTGCAACCCTGGTCTATACTTCTACTTATTTCTTTGTAGAATGCAATTAGGTTAGTTTGACATGACCTATGCTTCATAAAACCATGCTGTTTGTTGTTAATAACAAAGTTCTTCCCAATGAATTCCTGAATATTATCCCTTAATAGCTATTCAAATATTTTCACAGTCACAGAAGTTAAGCTCACAGGTCTATAATTTCCAGGCAAGGATTTTGAACCCTTTTTAAATATAGGAACAACATCTGCCTTCCTTCAATCCTCCGATACAATACCTGAAACCAAAAAAAATTGAAAAATTAAATACAGAGGTTCACTTATTTCCCCACTTAGCTCCTTAAGTACTCGTGGGTGAATACCGTCAGGCCCTGGAGTTTTATTTACATTAATTTTCTTTAATAGCTGTAGCACCTTGTCTCGAGTTATCCAATCACATGTTATCTGCAAGTTTTTTGCAGCAATCATTTGCATATCTTTTGCCATAGGATCCTCATTAATAAATACTGACAAATCTCCATGAGAAGCATCAGATTATCAGAAGGATCAGAGCTGCAGTGAGGATACTCCCCCACAGCTAGAATAATGATGAGTTTAATTAACACTTTCAGTGCAGAAATAGGGAGTCCCAGTAATCTAAAGCTTTTAAGGAACACTCCAATTAAAAATTTAGACAGACAGACAGAATGAATTGGAGTGTTCAATTTAATACAGCTTGCACTTTACCGGGTTGTTGAATGATAATTCAAAGTTAATTTCAAATAAAAGGTAAAATATCCACAGAAAATTGAAAAGTAAACAAAGCTTTAAGTTCAGCTACTCTGGCCTTAAATTTGAAATTCACTGTAATTTCTCACTTTACTGAATAACCCTGATAGTTTTGATCTCAATGTCTTGTGTCCTGCAAAATCTCTGACTCAGTGTTCGGAGCAGGACTTTCAGAAGACACTTTGCCCATGTGTCAATATGAGGTGTGATAGTTACAGTATTAGACTTACTTTGTTATGTGGTATAGTGCACACCTTGTAAAGAGATTGTACCATTTCAACTTAAAGGAGATCTGTCTCTTCTCAGGATCTTTAATGTTCTTTTTACATATTTCCTAAATTTGGCAAAATGTTTTTGTGAGGTCTGTAAAAATCAACGTGTCTATCCTGGAACTGGACGCCTCCATCTTAGCTCCTTGTCAATTAACATCATTAATGTTACCTTTTTCTGCCACTGAACATCAGTGTAAGAGTAAAATCCAAAACATTGTATCTATTTTTTTTCTCATTTGCATTGTGTGCCCTGACTATAACTGAACTAAACTGGATTGTGATCATCATGTGTCATTTTATAAATCTTTATTATGCATTTAAATAAGAAAATGGAGCATTGCATGAATAGAAAAAAACTTTACCACCAGTGGCAGACCTCCTTCAACAACAAATCCATTATGGCGTTTCAATAGTATAGTGACTATCACAGACAAAACAACTGATTTAATTATTATTGTACACATCATGTTAGGTCTTCGATGGCTGGATAATCAAAGGAGAAAAGTTTCCAAGTTCCTTGGATCATCCACTCTCCACCGGAGAACGTTACACTGACATCTGCGACCTCAACAACATGGGAAGCATCACAAGGTCATCTCAAAACGTGGCCATGATTTTCTTCCGCGTCCAAGAGCCAGGCAACGGATTTACTTTAACAATTCGAAAGACTCCTAATCTCTTCCGTAAGTTGGCTACATTCCCTCTAGCAGTAATTTTACAGGACTGCAAGCAAAATCATATATCTCTTCAGGGAAGCACATTAATGAAACAAGTGCTCGAATCATCTGATAAATGTCTGGGTTGAAATTACTATTGATTTTTCACAGAGAGGTCTTCAAGTTTGGTAGTGGTCGAGCATATATTTTCACTGAATGAATATTGTTTAGTGCTTCGTGACATGCACCGTTTATAATGCTGCCAACCCAAAACAGAATTATGGTATGTGATTCTAACTAATAATTGTTCTGACGAAAAATCCATCAGTCTGTTTTTTGTCGTTGGACTCGTTGAGCTTATCTTAGATTACAGCTCTGATCAGTTGCCATCTAGTTTAAAACACCCTACTCAGACCATATAACCATATTGTATAATGGGAGATGGAGTCCAGTATGGGCTGACAGGTCAATTTTACCCAACTTTTAATTAAAAAGGTAATATAGATAACAGTTGTGTTACTGTCCGTCTCACCGTGTCCATGCACAGACAACATTTGTCTGACTGCAGATATTTGTGTGTGAGAGGGCACATTGAAGGCAGACAATTAGCCCACATTGCTTTCATAGGCTACTGTCATTATTTCCACTTACCAAGGTCCATGGGCAAGTTGTTATCACAAATTTACCAGATATTTTTTGGGAACTGCAAAATATAGTAATAGTATAATAATAATAATAATAATATACCTACTTCTTGTTAAAGGGACACTCCAGGCACCCAGACCACTTCTGCCCATTGGAGTGGTCTGGGTGCCAACCCCACTACCCTTAACCCTGCAACTGTAAATATTGCAGTTTTCATAAACTGCAATATTTACATTGCAGGGTTAACTCCTCCTCTAGTGGCTGTCTACTAGAGGGCACTTCCGGGTTTATAGCACACATTCCGTGTGCTATAGCGTCGCTGGACATCCTCACGCTATGTGAGGACCTCCAGCATCGCTGAAATACCCATAGGAAAGCGTTTTCAATGCTTTCCTATGGGAAGGTCTAATGTGCGTGCACAGCCATTAGGTATCCCCCGCCACGGACGCGCATACATTGGAATCAATGTATCTTTATGAGTAAAGTTCAGTGTCTGAATGCAGAGGGTGAAGACAATGAATGTTAGTCACACTGTGCAGCACTGCCCCAGGAAGCACCTCTAGCAGCCATCTGAGGAGTGGCCAGTGGAGGTGTCCCTAGGCTGTAATGTAAACACTGCATTTTCTCTGAAAAGACAGTGTTTACTGCAAAAGTCCTTAAGGGAATGATTATACCCACCAAACCAAATACAATAAGCTGTAGTTTTTCTGGTGACTATAGTGTCCCTTTAAGGGATAGTTTGAGAACTCCCAATGGGAAGCCCTAGTTACGGTTCCAGGCAGGACTTTCACAAATTACAGGTTGAATGGGCTTTATGCAATATAATTGTCCACTTACTGGTTATAGCAAGGGCACAGAGACTGACCTCTATCCCTATGGTATGTTCTACCTCCAGGAGGTACC